GAGAATGTCAGGAAAGAAACATAAAAGTCCCCCATCTCAGGAATACTCTACAAGCCTCCTAAGGGCTATTGATGCCCCCCTTTTTTTGAAAAAAAAACCAGACTCGTTTTCATGAAAAACGGCCCGTTTTTGGGAGGTTTGCAGAGTGCAAAAACTTTTTTTCAGTTTGCCTCTTCAAAACCTTGGTGTGTCTTATACTCTGGTGCGTCTTATACTCTGAAAATAGGGGTATGTCAAAAGGAGGAGGTTCCTGGATCACATGGCTGCTGGTGCTGGAATGCATCTCACACTTATTGGATTAATTGGTGCTAAAGAGTGAATGACTCATTTTGGAGAAACTCTTTCTGGGTTTTTCTCAGAGGGTAAATAGTAAACAGCTTGAATTGATGGAAAATTATGTGACAGAAAAAAACAATATCAGCACAGCATCCTTAATCATCTCCAACAACCCCCTCAAATAGAGTTGGAAGGGACCTTGGCGGTCTTCTACTCCAACCCTCTGCTCAAGGAGGAGACATTTTATCTTTCTGGACAAATGGCTGTTCAAGCTCTTCTTAAAAACCCTCCAGTGATGGAGCACTCGCAACTTCTGAAGGCAAGATATTCCACTGATTAGTGGTGCTCACTGTCAAAATACTTCACTTTAGTTCCAGGTCGTGTCTCTCCTTGATAGGTTTCCATCTGTTACTTCTTGTTCTGCCTTCAGGTGCTTTAGAGAATAGGTCAGGTGTCAGCAACGCACAGCTCTGGAGCTGCATGTGGCTCTTTCATCCCTCTGCTGTGGCTCCCTATCGCCAGTCGGCACCACAATCTTGAGAGGAGCTTCCGGTTGGATGGGGGGGAAAGCAGGGCGTGCCAGGGGGAGACTCTATGGTAAGGGGCGGGTTTTCCGGTCAGCCCCACAATTGATAGGACTTTCGGTTAAGACAGGTAGAGGAAAAAGGACACCGCGCTTGGAGGAGACTCTATGGGGGAAACAGGACTTCTGGTTGACTCCAGAATTGAATGTGGGGGCTTCTGGTTAGGAGTCCTACTAGGACCTTTGTGGCTCTTTGAGTGTTTAAGGTTGTGACCCCTGGAATAGGTTGTTCCCTTCTTCTCTGGGACAGCCCCTCAAGTACTGGAAGGGTCATGGTCAGGAGAAACTGGGAAGACATTCTCAAGCTTCCTGAGAAAAAAAATAGGAAATCCTCCTTTGCTGTTCTGACAAATACTATAGCTTGGCAGGTTTTAGTTTAAACACTCATGTGGATGATATCAAATGCTGGTCCCCCCTTCCCTCACTCTGCTTTTAATGCTCTGCTTTAAAACATGGTTGGGGATTCATAACCAGAATCTATAAATTAGCATAAGAAGTTTTTATTCAAATCAGCACCTTATTAGTCTTTTGTTTGTTTCCTTAGGGAGTTTCCTTTCCTTTACATATCTTACATGGCTCTGTGTTAATATTTAACTCAAATTTACATTTAGAATGGAATCAATTTTAGGCTAGTAAAAACCAATCATATCCCTAGCTCCTTTAGGAATTCTTGCTACATTGTCTCTGGTGATTAGATTTTGCAAGTGCCCATTATCTGTGCAACAAAAGGCAGTTTAAGTTAATTTTGGGGATGCTGTAGGTTTTTAAGCACTGCTGTTCTTTTGTCATCTTCATTATCCAAGATTCTGAGTTTTGAATAGAGATTCAACACATTTCAGTCTGTATTTAAAGTCTCGTCCTGTATGCATTCTCCTTCATCACGGAACATCCTCACAGAGGGATATAAATTGGAAAGTTTAAGGACCCCAAAGACCCAGGATATTAACTATATATATTTACACTCTCCGCATTACACTCTCCAACATTAAAGGTTCCCCTCACACATATGTGCTAGTCGTTCCCGACTCTAGGAGGTGGTGCTCATCTCCGTTTCAAAGCCGAAGAGTCAGCGCTGTCCGAAGACGTCTCCATGGTCATGTGGCCAGCATGACTAAACACCAAAGGTGCATGGAGCGCTATTACCTTCCCACCAAAGGTGGTTCCTATTTTTCTACTTGCATTTTTACATGCATTTGAACTGCTAGGTTGGCAGAAGCTGGGACAAATAATGGGTGCTCACTCTGTTATGCAGTGCTAGGGATTTGAACTGCCGAACTGCTGGCCTTTCTGATCGACAAGCTCAGCGTCTTAGCCACTGAGCCACCACGTCCCTTCTCCAACATTAAAGCTGTTGAATTCTCAGAAAGAAAAAAATAAATATTCAATAATAGATCATTAGGGTGGCTGGAATATCTGTCACAAACCAATGCTTGTTAAATCTGAATTTGCATTATTGGTGTCAATTGTTGCCATATATTATGGGTGTTAATTTATGTGAAATGGTCAGAATAACTGAGATAACAAGGGTTTTCTTTGTTAATCTGTCCAGATACAGATTGTGTCTGTTGTATCATCATCATAAGTTTACTAACTAGGATTTTTAGGGACTTTTACTGGCATATTTTTCACTTTCTTCAGAACTTCAGAGATTTCTCAAGGCCATAACCCGTTGTAGCATGTATTGCATGTGGAAAGCATATTATTTTCATCAATAATAATTTTTTAAAAACCATGCAGTATCTTTCTCCAGTTCCAGTGGTGATCAGAATATTTTTGGAATATTTGAATAACCAGGTTACAGGACCAGGTGACTTTGGGCTGGTCACTCTATCGCAACCCAAATCACCAGAATGACCCCAAAATTCCAGGATTTCCAGTGAGTAGTCAGGAATTCTAGAATTAAAGATCCAATCAGTGGTGGGTTGCAGGCGGTACGCCCTGGTACGGGCGTACTGGATTCTGCCCGGAGCACCGGGTACCATTCTGATATGGTGCTCTGGGAGGCCTGCCCACCCACGCTACTTACCGTGTTTTAAAGCTGTTGGCGCTTCTGCACACGTGCATAGCGTGTACAGCACCCGTGTGATGTTCCGCTGAGCAGCTGGAGCATTGCGGAGGCTTGCGGAAGTGCCATTTAATACTACAACGCATGCACGCACCACTGGATCCAATGTATCCATTACCAATCTGCAACCCACCACTGGATCCAATGTATCTAAGGCCTAAACTCATGGATATTTTAACAATAGCCAAATGATTGGATTCACTGCAATTTCTTTTTGGCTAAACAAATATCCTATACTTCAATTAATTGAATTAAATGAGATGCTAAATTCAGTAAGTGGATCTTTCCTTCCTTCCTTCCTTCCTTCCTTCCTTCCTTCCTTCCTTCCTTCCTTCCTTCCTTCCTTCTTATTGTAATTCTGTCATAACTGTAAATTTGCAGTGAAACCAAGATTTGTCCAGCACATTTCATTCCATTAAACTTGTCAAAGAAAATGGATTTTAACTGATGCTCACCGCCCTGATGCTTTCAAAATGTCCACCTTCTTTTTCAAAATCGATAGGCTGCCCATTCAGACTCCAGTGAAAGATGACGTCTAAGGTTGGGTCATGGAAAGCTTTGCAGCTGAGGACAATGCTTTCTCCCACCGTCAGCTCAGTTCTCTTGGGGGACAAGTCTATCCTGGTAGGCTCTAGGAGACAAAACAAATCAATGACATCAACTGGGAAATATCCCCGTATTTCTTGTTTTTACTGCTTGGGCTTGCACTGATTGACAGAAAAGTCAGGAAGATGTAGATTGTGATCGTTTGGGTTGTACAAGAATTTCTCATTTTGTTTGCCCTTTTCACAGTCATTATAAAAGCGTAGAGGGGACAAAGATCACTCAAACAAATCCAAGTGCCTTCAGCCGTAATTGTAATTTTGAGACATTTCCCCCCTCCCCAAACACACACCTTCCCTCCTTCTTTTATCAATTTTCTCAGCCCAATGCTTTGTGTCTGTGGTTGAGAAAAGGAAAATTAGGCACAATTTTGGTTTGTAGGAGGTTTAGAATGCAGGGCTTTTAATTCTGGAGTGTTGTCTGTTCCTCTGATATTTTTTAAATGCTTTATGGGTTCCCTTTGTGTTTTTAAATTAATCTTTAAGATGCAATGATTTTATTCTTATTAGTAGTTCCTTTGTGACCATTCTTTGGAAGATGAAGATGGGCGGGAGAGAGAGAGAGTGTTATGTGTTGGATTACAACTTCCACTTGCTTCCAATAAGCAGAAATAATAGATATATTATGGTCTAACATATCTGCACACTTCTGGATTTTGAAAGGTTGCATAATATAATTATTACGTAACAATTTCTGTATTCCAATGAACAGAAATAATAGATATATTATGGTCAAACATAACTGCACACTTCTGGATTTTGAAAGGTTGCATAATATAATTATTACAGAGCAATACTACAAGCCAAAAATGGTTTTCATACCTAGTACCCACTAAATATGTTGGATCAACAAACTCATAGCAGAGTATNAATAGTTTACAACAGCTTGACCAACACATGGTAATAATCATTAGTAGTCATGATTGGGGACTTAAGACTTAGTCACATACTTGGAATTATAATAATGTAAAGCAAAGAGAGGAAGTGGCTCAGTAGCTAAGACACTGAGCTTGTCGATCAGAAAGGTTGGTAGTTCGATTGTTCGAATCCCTAGGGCTGTGTAATGGAGTGAGCTACCATTACTTGTTCCAGTTTCTGCCACCCTAGCAGTTCAAAAGCATGTAAAAAATGCAAGTAGAGAAATAGGGACCACCTTTGGTGGGAAGGTAACAGAGTTCCATGCGCCTTCAGCATTGAGTCATGCTGGCCACATGACCATAAAGACATCCTTGGACAGTGCTGGCTCTTTGGCTTTGAAACGGAGATGAGCACCACCCCCAGAGTTGGGAATGACTAGCACGTATCTGTGAGGGGAACCTTTACATTTACCTATAGCAAACTAAAGCAGCTGAAACTGTTCTTTGTTCAAACTTTCTTAAATCCTGGTTTGGTTAAGTCTTTGGTTATCACATAAACGAACAACTGGTTGGGTTCTTACCTTGCCCAAGACAATAAACTATGATATTCCAACCACAATGATTGGATCACTAAGTCACAAAGAATCAAGCCACATTTGGCACCCACAAATTGGTAATTTACTATGTTAGGACCATGTCCATAGAAAGAAAATGTAGATACTATAATTTAGAAATGGCTGGATACAGACAACACCATAAACTAAGTTAAGCTGGGCTTGGATAATTAGTATAGATAATTGAATTACCCAATTATTTTTTCTCAGAAGATAAACATGAACCAGATGTTAAGGCACACAAAATTTATTTCCTGGCATGTGTGAACACAGATGTTGGATTTTGATTTGTTGGTTAACTGTATGTTGTCTATCTGTCACTGACCTATAAGATGGAAGGGATTTATTTGGCTCATTGCAAATTGACAGTTGTGGTGCATGTTTTTAATTATTTTGAGCTGTTGCTGTTTTCGGTTCTATTTATTGGGTGTTGCCCAGGATTGCTGCAGCCAGAAGGACAGCAATATGAATTGACGTCACATGAATTGAGATTGGACAATCATTTGTCTGAAATAGTACTGGATTTCCTGCTTGAGCAGAGGGGGTTGGACTAGAAGACCTCCAAGGTCTTTCCAACTCTGTTGTTCTGTTATTCTAAAGTAAGGCAGTCAGGCAGGTAAGTTTAGGGGTCTGAATCAAGCCTATGAGTGCTGAACTCTGGCAAGTGATGAAGAAACTGGTTATTGCTCTTCATAAAAGCCTCAGCAAGAGCATATATTTGTTTTGTTTTACAAAAGAAAGTGCTTTATTGGAAGGATTCTCAGAGGACATTTCTCTCTTTGAGGGCATTTTGGATTTCAGTGGTTCTCCAGCATCATTGTTGAGCCACGGTGGCACACTGGTTAGAATGCAGTACTGCAGGCTATTTCTGCTGACTGCCGGCTGCCTACAATTTGGCAGTTGAAATCTCACCAGGCTCAAGGTTGACTCAGCCTTCCGTCCTTCCGAGGTGGGTAAAATGGGGACCCAGATTGTTGGGGGCAAGAGGCTGACTGTAAACTGCTTAGAGAGGTCTGTAAAGCACTGTGAAGCGGTATATAAGCCTAAGTGCTATTGCTATTGCACTTTAAAGCACTATTTCTCAACTGGAAGATGGGTGGACTTCAACTCCCAGAATTCCCCAGCCAGGACGCTTCTGAATTTCTCTGTGTTAAAGGCAAAGGACTCTAAGGATAGCAGACACTTTTGGCTCATGCAGAATAGTTGTAAAAGTTCTGCATTTTACGTACTGTTCTGTTCAGTCTGATGAAGGATATTTTTCCCTTATATTTTGTTTAAAAGAAGAAGGCAATTTAATTGACATTCTTGTGGAAGGAGCAGAGGTGTTGCAGGGTGAGGGGGGAATCAAGAAAATCAAGGTGGTAGTCATGATTGTATGATCAAAACAGGAATGCATTTATGAGCAACTTGAATGCAATATTCCATATTTTTCGGCGTATAAGATGCATCTTTTCCCCTCAAAAAAGAGGCTGAAAATCTCAGTGCGTCTTATACCCTGAATACAGCGATTTTTTTGCCTCCTGAAACCCCGCTCCCTTCACCAAAATGGCCGTGTATAGCTTGTAGAAGGCTTTCAGAGAGCTCCTGAGGGCTGGGAAGGGCAGAACTCAGCAGAAAATGGGCCTTTTCTTGCTCAATTCCCCCCCCGCCCCAGTGCCCAGGAGCCCTCTATTAGCTTCCTAATACCCTTTTGTTTGGATAAAAAATGGGCCTGTTTTTGTGAAAAACGGGCTGCTTTTTGGTTGTTTTTGCGGCAGGCGGCCACG